TATATATTTATATATTTAATTTATTTCTTTTTTTTTTTTTATAGAAAGGACAAGAAGGAAGAGAAAGATTCGGTTATAAAGATCGACGACAAAATCCACTTTGTAGTAAAACAAATCGTGAGAAAAAAAAAACCAAAGCTTTTCAAATGTTAAAACATAAAGTAAAAGGAAAAGTAAAACGTTCTTTTAAGGAAAAACAAATTGCTTTGAGAAATCATTTATTGAGACAACGAAAAATGAAATAATATATACTCATAAATATTATATTGTATGCATGTAGAAAAATAAATAAATATATATATATAATTATTATATTCTATATTTATATAATTATTATATATTAATATATTTGTGGAATTTCTTTGGGGGACTCTAGAGATAGAGATAGAGAATATAAAATAAATACAAAGATGCTATGTAGAAATTTATAAAGATTTATCTAAAATAATGATTTATCTAAAATTTAAAATTTTATAAATTAAGTAATTTAATGTTGTAAAATGAGGCAGAAACAAATATAGTTTGGTAAATGATAACGTAACGGAAACATTATCACAAAATTTTATTAAAATAATTTATTGATTAAACACAATCTGATTATAAATATATATTTAACATTATAATTTAACATAATTTATTATTTGAATTTCATAATTTAAATTTATTTTGCAGAGTTGTATAAGAGTCATGTTTGATTTGACAGTAAAGAATATATTAATTTTATATATTTATTATTAATTATTATTAATTATTATTAATTATTATTAATTATTATTATTATTATTATTACTATTATTATTATATTATTAATTATAATAAGTTTAAATAGTTGGATAGTAGATTTTAAAGATGACAATTTTTATTCGTATTTAATTTTGATTGACAATACTTTAAATACGTTAGATAATAAATTTAAGTGATAATTTAAAAAGTGTTGCATAATATTTAAAGATTTTGTAAGAATCTATTGTGTAAAATCTTTATAGCATTATAATAATAAATATCCTAATATTTGAAGTATTGATATATCATAAAAAGTTAGAATTTATTCGATTCAATATTTTAATATTGTATTTGACCGATAATGAAATTTTCTACATCATCTTTTTGTTTTAAACTTAACGTCTAAATGATATCAATTTTTAGTTTTATAATTGCTTTAGAATTCTGAAAGATGTGTTCATTGAATGTTCATTCTTGTTCTATTGGATGTTTTTATTTCTATATTTGATTTTTTATTTTGATGATCCGAAACGGACTTGTAAGAAAAGATCCCTAATAACTCGTAAGAAGAATAATTTATAAGAAATACAAAAAAAAATTTCAGATAAAAGTTTTTTAAAAGGATTATAGTTTGATAAAATATTTATTAAATATTTATGCAATTTGAAAAAAGTTAATTATAAACAAAAAATTCGTAATTTGTTTAAAATTTTTTTTCAATGTAAAATTTTAATGAATCTAAAATAATTATGCGAGATTATAAAAAAATAAAATAAATGTTTTTTGTTTTTAATGAATATAAGTTTATTATATTATTGAATTTGCTGAATTTTCAAAAGTAGGAAAATTTATATTATATATTTCTGTCTTTTATTAAACATTGGATCAATATATTAGATAAGAATGAGAAAAAAACAAATTTATACATATAACTATTTTATAATATTTTTAAATTATTTGTCGAATAAATGAATTTTGATTCTTTACTTATTTATTCTTTTAAATATGTTAAAGTTCATTGCTATTCTTTTTTCTAATTTGGACAATGTTCATGAATTTATTTAATTGTAAAATCAATGAATGATGTATAGTTCACCATTGGAAATATTTTGTTTAAAGTATTTATTTCAAGTAAATGTATAGTATTTCAAGAATAAATTTGGGATAAATACTGAAAATCAAGCTTTACTTGATTTTGCTAGAATAATTCCTTTTATCTTTTTATCCATATCGATAAATATACATAGATTCTCGTTGAAGTTGTATTGTAGATAATTTTCATTAAGTTTTCTGAGAGAAAATCATGGTAGAATCATCAATTTTGTATTTATAATTTATTAAAATAATTCGTTGATTAAATATAATTAATAATTATATAATCTAGTATCAAATATGTGTTTAAAATTGTAATTTATTATATTTTATAACTTAAATTTATTTTATAGAGATAAATAAGAATAAAATTTAGTTTGGTAGTAAAGAATATATTATCTTTAAAGAGATTCTTCGAGTTTTATGCTTATTTTCATTTAGAGAAATACAAAATATGGAATGCTATCTTATCGTGTAATTAATGAGTCTATTATGTTTCATTTCTTCTCTAATATAAATAATGCTTATAATTTTGCTATTAATAAAATTATAATTAATAATAATTTAATAATTTTTAAGTAATAATTTAAAGTAATAATTTTTAAAAATAAATCTAATTAATATATATTTTTACTTTTATTTTTTTTATGTTTATTTTGGTTTTTAAAATTGATCTTTTAAAAATATCTCATAAATATATTAACATCCTAGAGTCATTGTCCATTAAATATACCAGAACGAAATTTGATTGACAAAAGCATAATTATTTATTAACAATTCCATAACAATAATGTAATTTTCAATTTTGTAATATATTTGATAATATATTTCAGAAATAATAAATATAACGAAATAGAATAAATAAATATTCAATATTCAATATTAAATATTCAAATATTAAATATTCATATAATTTATTATATTTGATTATAATTGATTGATTAATATTTAAATTGCTAGTACAGCTATTTGCATGTTATAATTCATGATATGTATCTGACCATAATCATTTGAGTTTAGCAGTATTTAATTTCGTAACAATATTTTTGTAATTTAAATATTAAATTAACGAAAGATTAATTTTGGAACTTATGAAAATATATTTTTGTGATTCGTAAATTATTTCTATTTAAAAAAATCATTAACGATAAACCAAGAATACACAAAATCGAAATCGCGATTCTGAATATTACTATCAAAAATATTTTCCATAAATGTATATGATCAGTACTCATATATAAATTAGAAGTCATTAATCAATGTTTGAAAAAGAGCAAACAGAATATGATGTTAATCTGATGTTATGTCATTAAGTAAATATATTTTTATTAAAATATATATGTAACTGAATATATAATTGAATATGTTAATGTTATTCGATAATATTTTAATATAATATTAAAGTTAAATGGGTGACAATTTTTAATTTTTTTTATGTAATAAAATTATTTATAAATTATTTACATATATGAGTTTACCAAATTATTAATTCTTTCTTATATTAGTTCCGAGATAAAATTATAAAAAACATCCAAAACCTTATGATTTTTTCCTCCGATTTCAATTTTTAAATATATTATAAAAAAAAAACAAGTTTTTCTTAAATATTGGTTATATAAGATTGGTTGAAAAATAATGAATTTTCATATCTCAAAAACGTTATTGAAATAAAACAAAAAAAAAATGAAAGATTTTTTAATTATAAAATATATTTATTTTCCATAATCGTTTAATATCATTTTAATCGATAATCATTTACCAAGATAATTAATTTCAATATATTTTTTCCAACATCTAACAAATTTTTTTATCTTGTCAACAAAAAATTCTTCTGATAAAAAAAGTTATCTTGATTTTCAATCCCACTGAAAAAGAATATTTTTGAGTATTCTTTTTGAGAGAAAATCTAAAAAAGCAAAAGATAGAAATTCTAGATACCAAAACATGGGTACGAAATAAAATTTCAAACTCGTAAGGAAAAAGAATTGTGTATACGGTGTATGAGCACACATTCAATATTATTAATATCCAAGTTCTCGAAATATTATTCGAAACTGTATGAAATAAACTTATTTATATTTGGCATATTTATAAAAAAAAAATGCAATTTTGTATGCAATGTATGCAAAGCTAAATTTTATTTAGTCTTGGAGACAAAAGTTTAACAGACTTTCATAATCGCTCAGCAATCAGTTTTAGTTTTCGAATATTTGAAAAAAAAAATTGCTATTATTACAATTTTATACATCCTTCAGAATACGTGCAAAAGCATATGATCAAAAAAACTATTTTCTCATGAATTGTTTATTTTTTTATAATCCACGGAATATAAAAATAAAATATGAATTTTTAGGCAATAATTTGTAAGGCGAAATTACAATGATTGAAATTATAAATAAATATTAATTAATATTATGATGTTAATTATTATATATTGTTAAAAACAAATTAATATTTGTAAAGCGATTAGACAGGTTGAATTTTATTTTTAACGCCTCAAATATTTTAGTCTATTAATAGTCTAGCATCAATAATCTAATTTAGGTGCGGGTACAATTCTTTAATGCTTTTTAGATCCTCAATCTAAACAGAGATATAACAGCAATCTTCACAAATTATTTTTGCAATAGATTATTGTAGAGTACAAGGATCTTAACTCATATGCGCAATTCCATGAAAGATCTTTCGAAATAGCTTTTCAATACGACTATTGATTTAATCCCCTCTTAATTTATATTTTTACGGAAAATAATGATTGAAGCAAAAACAAAGATCCGCGACAGTCTTTTAAATTAGATCAGTTAAAATAAAATAGAATTCAGGGTAGAATTCATCAACATAGTTCATTTAGAGTACAATTAAAATCGTCATCAAAACAATCACCAATCAGCCGCAAACAGTTAGAATAAAACCATCATTTATTCGTTCTAAATTCATAATACAAATGATTGTACAATTCTATAACAATTGTTGTTCGAATAATATCATCAGTTCAAGCATCCTATTTGTGCAAATATTCAAAGTCATTCATTGTTAAAATCATTTATACTTTTAATATCATTATCATTGTAATTTTGAAACTGAATACAGATAAAAAATAGAAAAATTAGAAAGTTTATTTAGCATAGTATAAATATTTCAAGATAAAAAATAGAAAAATTAGAAATTTATTTAGCATAGTATAAATATTTTAAGTATAATAATTTAAACAGTTTCTTAAAAAGATCTTAAAAAGTTTCTATAGAGATTCAGTTTTCCTGCTTTACGTAACTAATATTGCTATAATATACTAATTTTATATTATAATAATAATAGAAAGACTGATATTAAAGTAGTAAAACATTTTTTGTAATTGTGGATCTTAATTTTCGAGTCATTAAAAGTCCTTTTTGTAAATTTTGTTATTTAAAAGAAATTTATTAGAAAATTTTAATCAAAAGTATAAGAGTTTTCAAAATTATAAACAATGCATTAAAATAATAAAATATTTTTTGTAAAAT